ATGCTCTGAGCTTGAGAGTAAATAAGAAGAAGAAAATGGTCACCTTAGTGCAGTAATGGATTAAGTCCTTCTAAATTTAATAGGAATTAACCAGTTATTGCACTAAGGTGCCTTGGTTCATTTGTCACAATTTTCTAAGTTAAGTTTTTTAAATTTTTCTATAACTTTCTGGGTGTTTTAATTGAAATAACCAGAAAAGTTATTTCCAGTCCCACCATGACAAATAACCCCAGGGGAGGAGTCCCTTTAATAAGCAAGGAAGTCCGTATTATTAAGACCCTGAGGCAAATTTTTTTATAAATTAGCTTGATACCTGTCTCACATAAAATGATCTAATTGCCAACTTCGTGCAGTAATGGGTTAAGTCCTTCTTAACTAAATAGGAGTTACTAGTAACCAGTTAATGCACTTAGGTTAGTAAATTTTTGTTGTGGGATTAAAACCTCAGAATGATGTGAGAAGCAAATGACTGCCATGCCTTACAATAATTGAGTATGAAACTAAACTACTCAGATTCCAGCAATTTTATGGGTCTTGGACTAAATTGGCTGACACTAAATTTAAAGAGACGAAATAGAACTTTTATCATTACATGCACTTCTAGTAGTCATAAAAGTAAAATGTTTTACCTCAAACCTATATGGTCTAGCCGGTACATCGACGCACGTTAAATCACTGAGATTAAGAAATTGTGCATAATGATGATCACGTAGAAATAAAATAGTTGGTATAATACCATCAGGATGAACATAAACTTCTAGTTCATCACCATGACATAGGTCTACCTGTAATGTAGAAATATATACATGTACACACAAATTTAGAAATGTGTCCCTAAGACACAGATGCCTCAACATTCTACTGTTGTTTTTTTAAGTCTACTCACAGACAGCCAGACAGATGGACAAATTCAAATCTTTATGCCTTGTCCACGCTAAGTAAGTGCATAAAAAGGAACTCAATATTCTATAAAAATTCTTTTAGTCCACTAAATGAACTCGCAGAATCTTTCCAAGAAGCAAATGACTACCATGAAAACATGTACATGTAAAATTAGGTTAACTTTCATGAATTTTTCAATTATGTTTTTTTATCATAAAAACGCATGCTTGTAGTCATTTATTTCTATGATAAAAGTCACATCCATTAATTTATCAACTTCTTCAGATAAAATGTAAATTCTACAGTGTGACAATGACAGCATCTACTGTGAATTCACTTAATTTCTTGGACATGAAATTTTGTGGTTTTGTCACAAAGAACATTTTCATGGGTATTAAAATTTGTCAACTTTTTCCAAAAGGTAAAATGTGATGCAAAATAATCTTACAGCAGATGAAAAGAAATTTCTTTCAGATGGACTTTTCCTGGAAAACCATGAAAATTAGTGCCCGAAGAATAATAATGATTTTGCAGTATAATCTGGTAATATACTAATATACAAACAGTACCAAATATTACATTGTATATCTATGGTTGGTCAAAAATTACTAATCTTACTCACCTTTTGCACATATTTAGGCAACATTTCAGCCACATATTGACCAAAGTCTGAAAGTGTCTGTGTTTTGACAGAGTCAACTTGTCTTATAGTAGCTGAAAGTACATATCAAAAAGACATTATAAATTAATTTTTAAGGCTTGCAATGAAATATTAAATTCTATCACAAATAAGTAAATATGGCGGAATGGTTTACTTTTAACCCATAACCAGCTGAATTTGTGTAATGGATTAACCCTGCTTTGAATTTGGAACAGTCCATTCAAAATTAAAAGGATTTCAATATCTAGATACAAAAATTAAGCTACTAACACTAGAGCCTGGTCAGACTGCATGGATCTGCTCTATACTGGTAGTAAAGGGCTATTAACTTTCAGTTTAGGTTTATTTGTGTTTCTGTCAGAGCTTCTATAACAAGAGCTGTCCGTAAGACAGCGCGCTCGACTTTTTTATTGCTTGCCAATAAAAAAAGTTTTTGCAGTAAAAGGCAATACAAGAATCTCTGTATTTTTAAAGTGAACAATGGCCATGAGCATTAAGATATTTAGTGAAGAATTATTTTACTGAATTGTGTGATACCCTTGAACACTGCAGCAAAGTTTGAAATGTTTAAGTCAAAAGAGGGCTGGTAAGAAAGAAAAAAAAACTGAGTTGAGCCTTAAATAAATTTAATAGTATTAAACCCACTTTGAGAGAATAAGGTATGTGAAATATGCATATACTACTGATTTTAATTTCAAGTACAAAAAGAGAAAAAATAACTAGTTGTTTGATACCCTTGAATATTACAGCAATGTTTATATGACATAATTTATGGTAAAGTGAACAAGTGGATAGGAATGAATTTTTTTAGATTTTTTAAGTTTTTTAGTGCTTGCCTATAATACAAAACATTGACAGTTAAGGGCCATAATTCAAATAAAATCTTTGACAGAATTACCTTCTCCCGGACATGTTTGGGAATCATGATTGTAAACAAGTATTCCAACTTTCAAATTAATATCTCAAACAGTTCAGTCAAAAAGTGGACTGGTACTAAAAACTTAACCAAGATTCTAAGTCGATAAAAGGCCTTAATTTTTAAAACAAATCCTTGACAGAGTTACCTTCTCTTGCGTACAGATGGGGGTTAATGATGTGAAATAGCATTAAAAGTTTCAAAGCAATATCTCAAAGGGTTAAGGCAATAAGTGGATTTTACCGATATTCAATGTATTTTCTAAGTCAAAAAGGGCATAATTCTGTCAAAAACCTTGACAGAGTTATGTCCTCTTGTCTGTTGATGAAGGTCGTGATGGTAAACAAGTATGGTCAGTTTCAAAGCAATACCTCCAATGGTTTTGAAATAAAGTGAGGTGGTACAAAAAACTTAACCAAGCTCAATACACTTTCTAAGTCAAAAAAGGGCCATAATTCTGTCAAAAACCTTGACAGAGTTATGTACTCTTGTCTGTAGATGGAGGTTATGATGGTGAACAAGTATGGTAAGTTTCAAAGCCATACTTGTAATACTTCTGAAATAAAGTGGGGTGGTACGAAAAACTTAACCAAGGTGTGACGCCGACGCCGACGCCGGGGCGAGTAGGATAGCTCCCCTTTTCATAGAAAAGTCGAGCTAAAAATCATCTTAGATAACTTAAGTTTTTATGATTAATCTGTTTAAAAGTAATTTTCTTGTTAGACACTTACGAAATTTCTGTGTTGATTCTGTAGTTTGAAACCGACATGCCTGGGATAGCACAGCAGGCTGCTGCAAAACTGAAAAAAATATGATTTGTAATATTAAATACTGATATTGAATTTCAAACTCCATAGTATAAATATATACATGTTCTAACATGCTTGGAAGAAAACAATCCTGATGGTTTTTTTTCTTTCTTTTTTCTTACATGTAAAGTACTCAAGTGATTCAGATTGGAACTACTTTCCATATCGGACAGTTGCACTTAATGGTTACATTAAGATTTTCAGGTCATTTGTGACAATAATTTTTTATTAAAAGTCAGCAATTTTATAAAATTTAAAATCAAAGAGCATTAATTTTATTTTTAATATGTTGGAAAAAAATGTCACTCACTGTAGAGCTTTCATTGATAGAGACAATATCGATGTATTGTCAATATTTTTCTGTCAAACAATAATAGGTACACATTTCAAGAAATCGATAGATATAACTAATTAAATTTCTAGAAATAATGAAAATAAACCTAAAACTCATTCATTTTTACACATGTAAAAAAACATGCAATGGGCATTAATAAAGAAGACACTGAACATAACATGTATTTTACTGAAACCATTAAAACAGGTATGAAAGTGAACGACAGACAAATTATTATAGGTAATTATCAATATATTGTTGATTATTTGTCATCCTATATCGATACATCATTGATATACTTCGCACGAATCAATGACAGCTCTAACTCATTAATTCATTTCACATATTGATCAATTACAAAAGTAGCACAAGCGTTTCTTCCAACAAGAACACAAAATTTTTCACAGGTGATTGTCTAACAATATTCTATATCTCCACATATGAGCAGGTACCAAAACTATTTTAAACAATTGGGATTCAAGTTTTTTGGCAATCATATGTACTTGTCAGAGATTTAATTGATCAGTAATATATTGACCTAACACTGAAAAATTAAGTTGTGTTACAGAAAAACGCTGATTTTAAATATTGTTGCATTATGAGAAAATAAAGTAAAAGTGTGTCAAAGATGCAAGAAACACACAGACTTCCTGAAATATGTTGGTCAGACGGACATGTCCAATAAATTTTGATTAGGTCTGATGATTTTTTTTTCCGGTCCAGCTTTTATCCAAGTCTCATGTATGTACAGGGATGTACTTTTCTCCGGTCTCCTATCGGTAATTCCTGCATGGTCTGTCCCCGTAAAACTTCCCCGTAATTAATATGGTTTTTCATTTATGATATTTTATGCTCAAATAAAATAATTAATGCCATTTCCCGTAATTAATACGCTTTTACATTTTTATCTTTGATGAAAATATATAATTAAAAACAACCAAAATACATAATAAAAAAAACAATTAATTTGAGACGAAATACATTATATTCGAAAAAAAGTATCTTATATCAACACATTTTTTATCTAGAAAGGTTTAGAAGACCGCACTGACCGGGCCAGTAAATATGATACTATTCGCCGGTCTCTGTAAATTCCGGTCAAAATAGACCGTGAGAGACCGGACCAGAGAATAGTACATCCCATGTATACAAAGTGACCTCGCTGAAAAATCTACATCACAGGAGCGCGCAGAACAACAGTAAAAGGATGAAGAGAATAGACCTGAGACAAATTTAATGAAAAATAAAAGCAGGACCATGTGCCAATTTTTACGGGGGAAAAATTAAAACCCAAATGTGTCTTAGAAATACAAAGACAGCTTTTCCTTAGATTTGGATTAATTTCATTTGGTCTGACAGATTTCGTTTCGGTCCGACAGATTTTCATGGTTTGTCAGACCGAATGTCTGACACTTTTTTTCAACTTTCGGGAAGTCTAAACACACTATCGTGAAAACACTGCTTGTGGTTGATCCGTTGAACTTTGAGAAAGGCACTGCTCAGTTAATGGCTTCTGAGCTGAGTGCCTGTTGAGCTGTTGAGCCTGAGGTCTCTAACAATTCCACAGACACTTGGGGTTTGGAGCTCAAAACGCCTTTAAAATCCAAATAAAATGCATATTTGTCAATCCCAGCACATGTACTGACAGGGCCCTCAATCCAATTTGGGGGAAGCGGGTCGCTACCCTCAGCAGGGGGAATTTTAGTGTATTGGGGGAATTTTTCTCTTTTCTTTTATTATCAAATACACTTATTTAAATATCAGCTGTTTTTTATTTACATGCATATTATTTTTTTTTTAAATCCATAATAGGTAACACTTAACTGTTCAGAAGTGATTGATAAGATTTGAAGAAAAGTTTTTAACACCTTACACCATCAGACCATCAGATCTTTATGCTGCTTAGCTTTCTTTATGACCCCCCCCCCCCCCCACCCCTAATCATTTAGAAACACATTCAGACAAATGTCTCCATTTCCACTAATATGAACAATACATGGACCTAAAGTAAATTCTATTCATACACTACATTTCTAGTGTTCTAACACACCTTTTAATAAGACAAAGCTTCCTTTTCTTGACTTTCGTAAAAAAATCGTAAAAATCGGCCTCGCGAAAATATGTGACAAATGAAAATTTGTTTGTTTTCTGTTTACACATCCACAATTCAAGTTGTTTCTGATGTAAATTATATAAAATTAAATTGATTGTTTATTATAAGATCGTTTTTCATCAGTTATCTAATAAAGTATCATGAAAACAAAACTTACAAGTTTGTAATTCACGGCAAAATTTACCGTGGTTGATGTAACATTTTGAAGACAAAAAAAATGATTTCATGAATAAACAATTTGAAATCAAATTGTTGATGGGAATTGTGATTTTTTTCTGCATATTTCTGTTGAAATTTTAGCATTTTTACAGGATGAAAGGCCAATATGTGACGGTACATTTTGGGGGAAAAAACAAACGGAAACGTGCAGACATGTACTTTACGATATTCCGCTTACAAAATAGACGTCAAATAGATGGATTTTAATTTTCAAAAACAACATTACGTCTTAATTTTTCTCTTTAACACTTAATATGTTTTGAGGGGGAATTTTTACCTCTGTTAGGGGGAAAAAAACATAGTATTTTGGTGGGGGACTGCGGCCGAATATCGGCCGCAGATTTGGTTGATCGAGGGCCCTGACTGATCATATATATCAAAACAACTTAATATAAGCCGTTTTGAAAAAAAATCATATTTCAACATCTATAAAAATACACAAGATAAAAATGTTCGCCGGAAAAAATCCGCACCCATACCGTCATAATCACCATGTATTTTAATCCATTTCCAATATTTTCACATAATCCTTTGGTCCATCGACACATAAGATATAATTCTTCACGATGATGGTCAATTTTAAACTTCAACGGTAATATAAACAACGCAACAGCCGAAATAAACATCAATATTATCGCCGTTTTTTTTCAACGACAAAATGTTTCAATAAATTCAATGGACCAGACGGCTATGAACGAAGCTATCCGATTATGTGGTTCCCAAACTTAAAAGCGCTGCGCATTTTGCACACGGCAAAGCTGGGGCCACATAATCGGATAGCTTCGTTCATAGCCGTCTGGTCCATTGAATTTATCGAAACATTTTGTCGTTGAAAAAAAACGGCGATAATATTGATGTTTATTTCGGCTGTTGCGTTGTTTATATTACCGTTGAAGTTTAAAATTGACCATCATCGTGCAGAATTATATCTTCTGTGTCGATGGACCAAAGGATTATGTGAAAATAATGTAAATGGATTAAAATACATGGTGATTATGACGGTAGGGGTGCGGATTTTTTCCGGCAAACATTTTTATCTTGTGTATTATTATAGTTGTTGAAATATGATTTTTTTTCAAAACGGCATATATTAAGATTTTTTGATATATATGATCAGTACATGTCCTGGGATTGACAAATATGCATTTTATTTGGATTTTAAAGGCGTTTTGAGCTCCAAACCCCAAGTGTCTGTGAACAATTCTAATTAGTTGGACAATAATATTTCACATATTTCCTTTTTTCAAAAGTATTTGTTAACAGGGGTATGAGCACTGTATATAATGACACAACTGCAATTAGTAGCAAAAACATCTAATTTGTGCTGGTTCAGATTTACCCCACCCACCCCAAACACTGTGTTTACTTTTCAGTATCTTGTGTTTAATGGGCGATTTTGAGAATAAATCACAGATTATGTACGCAGTAACATAAATAACGGTGCTATATAACATAATTACCTCTACTTTTTGCAACATTGGATGCAATTGGCCCCAAGAGCCTGCAAAATCTTGATGCCATTGCCCTTGATTTTAAGTTAGGGACGGCTCTGTAAATTAAAAAAATAAGCTGGAAATTAAGGAGTAGTTTTGTTTTATCTTCTTGACATATGATTTTCTTTTATTGATTGAAAGTAAATTAATATTTTCATTCGGTAATTTATTATAGATTGAAGAAATATTGAATAAATAATTGAAATAATCAACAGCTTATCCCTTTGTAAGGGAAGCAACTCTAACACTCTACACAAAAAATAAATAATTCTACATCACGTTTCAAAGCGATTCATCTTAAATTTACAGTTTTTTAACGGTAAAATTACTAAATATTTATAAGTTTGAAATGCTTGCTTTGTTATGAAAATGAAATATGTATGTTATAACTTTATAAAATCGAATTTTGCTCAGTTATGCCGGTCTTCTGTACCAGTATTTAACTGCATCCAGTACTCGGATACAGAGGTTTAAGATTCTGTATAAAAGTAGTTAATTAGTTATCTCGTTAATTCTTTTTTTACTTAAACTGGAGTCATAAAATACTTCATGGCTAGTGAAAGGAACACTTACTAATGAGGTGTGAATGTAAATCATAAACAGAGAAAGGTGTGAACAGAGAGTTGAAGTGTTCTGTTTATTTTAAGGTGATAATCAAAAATTGTATGCTTCCATTAATTACAGTTAAACTTGTATTTAAAGACTGGTCGAAGGAAACACCAAAAATGAATAAACAACTAATACTGATACTAATTTACATCCAAATTATCTATTTTGTATTTCTAAATAAATTTTAGCTGTCGCTGGTTGCATTGAACAAAAGCCACTTAAGTCTTAACACGTTACAGATGTAGTGGGAAAATGATTGGGGATGATTCAAAGAAGTTGCTACTAATTAAGGATGTAACGGTTTACCGGTATACCGATATATTGCAATATGAAAAAATAAATTTCAAACCGCGGTACGATTTTTGGAAAACTGGTACTTTATAAAATTCATAATTTTCAATTAATTGCCTTTTAATTTCGCACACATTTCGCATAATATCTTTAATTGGCGAATTTTATTTGCGCCAACGTAAGATAAAAATATCCGACCCAGATGTGAAAGGTAACGCGCGACTAGTTTTGTTTATCCAATTGTGTGACACTTTACTTTCTATTTATTCCTTACGTTTTTATAAAGTTTTTACTAAGAATATATACATATAATAATAATATATAATGTAACTCCATCTTTACATCAAAACACATACACAACAATACGTATTGCAATATATTGCAATACGCTTCGGCAAAATGGCAATATATTGTAATACGGTTTTTGCTATATTGTTACACCCCTACTACTAATACTATTAATAATACAGTCGAGACTGTCATATGTGACTTTCCAAGGGATCTTCAGAAAAAGGTCGCATATGACAGGGAGTCTCTAAATACAGTCTCAAAAGAAAATTAAAATTTAAATATCATCTATCTGTCTATATACCAATGTGACTTACAGATCCTGTATGTTTTGTGATTGATATTGTTACTGTGTTTTTACGTATCTTGCAAAAAAATATATATGGATATAATTATGCAAATAAAACAATTTTCAAACATCAAAGAATATGCAAAATGTGTATTGCAAATATTTGTTCACATTAAATTTAATCAATAAATTACATGCATTGTTTATTATTGGAAATTTGACTTAGAATTTATGGAAAATAAAGTTCTAATTACCTCCCTTTAATGACCTTTATTTACATGAAATGTTAAATTAGGTGATATCTTTATAAATAATGTTTATTTGAACTTACAATATTGACAAATCTTAATTTGAGCATCATATTTATGAATAAAACCATGAAAAAATTGTGTCACAGGATCTTTAAACAATTGCCATATCCAAAGCTGTTTTCTGGTTCGGTATCAATATTTATTTTTTCCGTATTAATTATGCAGCCATAGAAAGGTAAATTAAAAAAATGCTTCCTAAAAAATCTTCCGTGGGCACTCTAAAATTTAAAAAAAATCTAACACAAGTATTCAGGCCATTTTGTACATTACACACACTCGATTTCATCATGCTTTCCATGAACAGACGCTACGTCACTTGGTACCTGCATGTATCTACCGGTATATACACGCTAATTGTGTAATTGAGATAGAGGTGTGTAGACTTTGTTTGCTACAGTGCTGGATATATATTGGACTTAATTATTTTGGCCCTCTGGGTGTTAAAATAGGTATTCTTTATCTGATTAACGGATAATTAAAAGGTGTGAAAGTCGTTTAAATCAGACAAAACATTGCATTGGGACCAGACAATTAAGTCGCTTTGTCACATATGACAGGGAGTCGTTTAATTCAGACCTTTATATAGGAAAATACGTTTGGGAGTACTGAAAACAGTCGGATAAGGCAGGGAGTCGTTTAAACCAGGGGGTCGCTAAGGCAGTCTCGACTGTAGTAAAACTTCTAATTGTGTTTTAAGAGTTTTTACCAGCTGAGTTTTTACAGAAAGTTATATTATTAAAAGTTTTCAAGATTTTTTAAATTATTTCTTTTTTTTACATTCAAGTACCATGATATTGTCTAAATGATACATCTGTTCATCTAATTTTTCAAAGTAGCAATTTATTTTCATAGATATATTGTTGCTAACTTGTCAACTGCTACAATTGTCTTTTTTTTGTTTGAAGATGTCAAAATCACATCTCCATGGTGATGATGATGGCCAGTCAACAGAAAAACCAGCTTTTCTTCGTTCTTTCTCACGGGGAAGTGGGAGATATTCCAGAATAATCAGGTTTAAGACCCACAGGATTTGTCTCATTACTAAATTAGCATTGTTTTCAGTTTGTTGAATTTTATCAGATATATTAGTAAGGTTGTTTATAAAGTAAGCTTGTAGTTTTTAAAATTCTTTGAGTGTGCTTCATGCAACTACATGTAACCCTGTTGGTGAAATGTGTAATGCGCGGTGCATCATCAGCATGTTCATACCCATTGGCCATGCAGGTTCATAAACCTTTTTTTCCCCCTGAAAGTACATACCAGTAATCTTGTTAGAAAATTTATTTTTCTATATGCCACTTCTTTGATTTGCTCTTTTTCAACAATCATGCTGTCTGTAGATTGACAATATAGTGAAATGCTGGGACACATTTTCTAGATTTGACTTATGTTCAAGTATTAAATTAAAACATGAAGTAAATATAAGAACATTGAAAAAATGGGCTGAGTAAAAATAGTGCTATGTAATTATAGAAATAGTCATTAAGTAAGTAATGAGCACATGTGGAGTACTTGAA